CGCGTTCCTAAAGCTCCCGCCTTCTGTGCTTTCTGAGGATGAAATCAACTCAAGTGTTAAGAGAGAAAAGCAGCCTCTCTACAGCCAGGCGGACAGCTGGACCCCTGACCCCTGCTGGTGGGGCTCGGCTGCTCTGAGGCACGGAGGGTTTCAAGCTGCCTTCGCCGTGCAGCGGAGGTTCCCCCGGCACAGGGAAATCCCCTGGCAGCGAGCTGACCCAGCTGGCTTCGTGCCACCCCCTCCTCCCCCCGCCGTGCGGGGCTGCGGAGGGCGAGCGGGATGCTCACGAGGTGCTAGCACCCCTGCCGAAGCCTTAGGGACCACGCTGGCTGCGGAGGGGGTGGCTGCTGCCCGCCTTCTCTCCTGGCTGTACTGATCCTCTCCTCTCACCGCACACACTCGCCCGTCTCCCCAGGGAGCCCGCGGGTGCAGGGTGGGCTGCGCGCTGCAGCGAGGGCGGCCAGAGAGCGAAGCTGCAGGACAGAGCTCAGCCCGCACTGCTGCTCGCTCAGGGCTCACACTGTAGTTTTGTTTCTCGGGTCCCCAGGAGACCCGGGGCTTCCTGGAGGTGCACCCTGCTCAGGCTTCTGCCTAACAGCTACTGGCCCACGGGGAAAAAAGCTGGTCAGAATAGATTATTCCTGAACATGGAGGAAAGAAGGGGTTTTAATTTCATTTCAGCCACAGATTGTGGCTTTTCTTGCTGCTGAATAAAAGAACACAAAAAGAAAACACAGGGACCTAACCCAGTTGGAATTGTCTGGGATGAGACTCACGGTTAGGGCAATGGTTACTGTGGTGGGGAGTAAAACTGCACAAACTAACAGATTGCTTGTAGGGGAGGTGATCAAAAGTGCTGAGGGATTTACAAGCACCACACAACACACCCTGCAGGTCCAGTTTCTAAAGAAGTATCTGCTGGTCCGAAACTTCCTGTGAAATACATGAGCTCCCTATAAAAGATCTCTGCTGATAGATAGTCTGATAAACCACTACACAAGCATCTGCCTTGCTTTTCTCCTCCCCATCAAAGATTACTGGTGCACCAAAAATAATTTAGAGCTGCTGCATCAAGCAGACAGTTCTGAGTGTCAGATGTGGTTAGACAGTTACTATTTAAATAATGCCAGTATTTTTTCTTTGTATAGTAAAAAGCACACAACTTGACAGCTGAACTGAAAAGAAGAACTAAATCTAAGTCAAGCAAGCTGATAACATTCAGGACAGCAGCTACACGTCCGTTATTTGTACATGGAAAGAGCCCAACACCATCCTTGACACTCAGTCTCTGCAAAGCACTTGTAGATCCTCTCACATCCAAGTGCTTTAGAGTCTATGATGCATTTATCCTTCTGTTGCTCCTGTCACACAATCCTCATGTATCTGTGCTGCAGATGGGGCACATGGAAGCAGAGTGGCTTCCCCAGGGCTACACTGAAAACCTCTGGCACTGCAGCATGAACATGCACGGTCCAGGGCACGACCAGTGTCCCAAAGCCTGGGTTACCCTCTCTCTTGATCCTGTGCCACTACTGGATTTTGGACAGTGCTGCAAATCACTAATTTTTTTAACTGGGTTTGTGCTTTAAGTGTCAAACCTGATTGCTCTGAAGGTCCTGGCAGAACTAAATTCTATTTGTCAACTTATTTCTGTGGTTGTTTATGTAACTTTTACCATTGTTGGTGGTTTTTGGTTATGAACAATATTAAGAAGAGGTCCTGGCTGAACCATGCTAAGCACTCTCACATGACTTTCACTTGCATTTGAAGCTAATCACTGCTTGCCAGCATTAGCCTGGACACCAGATGTGTCCTGAAGGATCTCCTGACCTTGGCTTATCTTCACTCCTGAACTATTTCCAACATTAATGAATCTCCAAGGCAGAGGTGTGTAACAAAGGTTTATCTGCCAATTTTTCATGAATCATCCTTTCCTCTGGGAATTCATCTTTACACTATTTGATATCAAAAAGTTAAAGTTAGTTGGGTTTGTTTTTTTCCACAAATATGAAGGTATATGGAGGAATATGTATGTGTGGCAATGCCCAACCTGGATCAGTTTCCCTAATGGCTGAATTTCCAAATCCAGCCCATATGATTTGATAGCTAGAGCCTGCCAGGAACCTTGTGGTTTGTAATTCTGTCTGAGAGGGGAAGGCTGAAAAGTTGCAAGGGGGCTGCATAGGCTGGGCTGGGCACCTCTTGTTGTGAGGCAGCACTGGTAAGATGAGAATAGAGGGAAATATTTGCTTCCAAGAAAGCACGTGGCAGGTGTCTACCTCTGCAGTATAGTCAGAAATGAGCTACAGACACATTAAGTCACCATTAAGGTAGCCAGTATGCATAGTACCTGTTGTACAGCTACTGCACAAAGAGGCCCCTGCATGTGGCAAAACCCATCTGAGAAGGTAAATACTTGCCATCACCTGCCTTCAGATCCATGCTGTTTTGGCTAGACTGTTGGTGCTTAACAGCTTTGTTAGCTATGGTCCCATATTTGAATGCAGTCTTCCTGTGAAGATGGAACCACCTCTTATCTTCACAAGGCAGTAGGTACAGAGAGGTTAAGTGAGCTAGGTCCCCGGTATTATGTGCCCTGTGGAGCAGTAAGGCTCTGAGCAAAGAACATGGTCTCAGGAAGACGTACAAATTCTTTTTTTACAGCAGGGAAGATAAGAAAATAACAAAGGGTCATGCCAGCAGTGGCAGCAGGAAGCTACAAGAGGTAAAGAGAAACAGCAATTGTGTTATGTGTAAAAGACAATTCCAGGAGAGCTCAAAGACTGGGAAAGCACACCCACTCTGAGGGACAATGGCCTCAAGAATGAGGAACCAACAGAGTGAGGCTTGTCCCAGATCACTCAAGAAGTTCATGTCAAAGCTCAGAATAGAAGCAAAGTCCAGAACGCCAAGGCTGTGCATTAACCATGAAGGCAGAGGACAAGAGTTGACAAGAAGAGGTCACAACCATAGACAGGGACGAAAGCTGGACTGTCAGCAGAAATAAAGAGAAAGAAGAAATAAGAGGGAGGAGGAAGATGGGGGAAGGGAAGAGGAGTGAAGGGAAGCGAGAGGCACTGAAACAGTGATTGCCCAAGAGTCTGTGCCTCAGTGGCAATGCAAGGCACTCAAGCCAAGCCTGGCTGGGGAACCATCATCTCAGTATCTTACCCATGAAAAATCACAGCAAGACCTAACAACTCACTTTATCTCAGAAGAGCTTTCTGGATAAAAGGGATTTAAGGCTAAAGCCTCCATAATCCTTTGGGTTTGCTTTCTTTTAATACTATAAAGCACAAAAATAAACTTTCTAGTCAGGAAAAATATGGCTTTTGTTATGCTCTGAGTCACTTTTCCCCAGCAGCAAACAAAGCAGTTTTTCAATTCAAGCCCTGAATGTTTCAGAATGAAATGTTTTACCAAGTCCTAAAGTAAATCACAGTTCTCCAAGTCACACTTCTAACTAATGTAAACTCACTGAGGCCAGGAAAGAGACTGTATGTGGCTGATTTCGCCTGGCCTGACTTGGGTGGCATAACTGATAAATTAATATCTAGTTGAAATCAATTCAGGATGATCCAGCCAGCCAAGCAGAAGCCTGGAATTTCATTACTAACTTGCTGCTATTCTGCCTAATGGCTCCTCTTAGCACAGAGGTCGAGTGCATCCCTTGTGAGCTATGCTGCAGTTAGATGTTACTGGCTTGATTCAAAACCCAGTGAAATTGATTTTGCATTCCATTTTGGGATTACATTTAAGTGGATTTTCGCTCGACTCTGAAGTTTGCTAGCTTTAATTTCACAATTATTTATTTTTTATTTCTTTTTCATTTCTTTTGCAAGGTTTGTGTTGGTACACAAAACACAAATGTTTTCAGAAACGTAAGAATCTCTCAGCTTCTCATATGAAAAGTACCCTGAAACATAGTGTGCAGTTTTACTATTAGAAAGATTGTCTTGCTTTGTTATCATGCTCCATTCCCTGAACACGAAGAGGATTTTACTTAGCTATCTTCTTGTGGATCAAGCAAACCTCCTAAGTCAAATTCATTGTTAAAACCCAGTTCCACACTCCTCTTCAGACAAGGGGACCAGTAAGAACTCTGCAGATTTTACTGTGATGGAACCAAAGCTATTTCAACCACATTTCAAACACAGACTAATGGAGAAAACCATCCAAACTCTGCCCACAAAAGCAGCAATAAAGACTGTACAGGATACAGCCACTAAGCACTCAGTACCTAAGGTGAAGAAAATAAAACTTCCATGGCCACAATTTCACAACTCTAGGTGAGTAACTGGAGGAAAAATCTCAAACTACTGAGTGCTAACAAAGCACATAATGGTGCACATTCACAAGATCAAACCACACATGCAATTGCCTAGACTGAGAGGACAGCAGCAGTGGATATATGTGAAAGTCAGGACTGTACTTCATGCATAAGAAGACCCTGTATTTGCAGCAATACATTCAGCAAGCTCACTCTGCTTCCACTAAAATTAATGCCAGTTTTGCAACTGGCCTTTATGACTGCAGTGTCCAGCTGCACTGGACTTTGCACTGATTTCCTCTTGCAAGGAACGTCTTTAATAAAAGAAACAATCAACCAGAATGCCAATAGCTGCCTACCTAAGAACAAGCAGGATATGTTCAAAGAAAGCTTTACTCTGACAACTTATATTCATTCCTAAAGGCTAAATCTGCTTGGATCACAACAAAGAAACAGCACTGTTTTACTTATCAATGTCCTACTGTTCATCTAGAACATCTGTGATAGTTTTGCCTGCAGCACTACCCCATTCATTACAGGCCTTGATAGACTGTTCAATGGGCTTTTTTTTTTGGTACAAAATGTACAAAAGCATTTTACAAAGTGAGCTTTGCCCTGATATGAATAGTAAAAAAATAAATTAAATGTGCATTTTGCTTCAGATCCTCCATTTTTCAAACTAACCTTTGGCAAAGGGAAACTAAATGGTAACAGCTTGAAACCTGACAGCTCACTCCATGGCATGAAGCAAGACAGAGGGTTTCTGCAGAACACTGCATTTTTTGCTCAGTTGCCAAAGTACATTGCCATCTACCAAAAATGCAGCTGATGAAAGACCAAAATGCAGCATAAGCAAATATCCACACCCATCAAAAGGAGGCCATGTTGGTTTTGTGCAGAGGAACAGGTTGGATTTATAAGCCCTAAACTTCCTCCTTCCCTCCAACAAACCAACAAATACAAGAGAAGAGTTGGTGCTTACCGTCATCCAGATATGCTTGGTCCAGATTCTGTTCCTGTTTAATAGTGACTCCAGCTGGTAATGCTTCTTTCTGGTCGCCCACTGGTGGTCCATTTTTTGCTGCCCGCTGGCCTGAGGCTGTCTGCTGCTGAATCACCGTAGGGTATGAACTCGGACTTAACCTTTGTGCTTGACTGACCTGGGGCTGGCTGGATCTTGTAACATTTGGAGTAAAATTTTCACAGCACATGATGTGCTGAAATTCTTGGTGACTTCCACACCTCAGCTGCTGGTTGGTTGGAGAATAGTGAATCACTGGAGAAGACTGCTGGTTGCCTGGAGAGTGGTGGAGCACTGCTGAAGTATGACCTGGAGAACCAGTGTGCACCAGTACTGACCTATGGGCATCTGAAATAGCAACTGGTGTAGCCATCAAATTGGATTGCTGGTAGCCCAGTTGGCTTGGGCTAAGGCTCTTGCTTCTTTGGTATATGACAGCTGCTGGATTCTGCTGATGATACCGAGAATCAGGAGAAGAAAGGCCTGAGCGCAACTGCTGGCAAGGAGCCATAGTGGCCACAAGACAGGAAGGGGATTCGGTGACCATTGTGTGCTGTGAATAGTAAGGCTGTGTTACTGTTCCCAGACCACTGTGTACTGTATTGCAGATTAAGGCTGGATCATAGTCATCAATGGGCTCTGTTTTGATTGATGGTACTAGAACAAAGCACGCAAAGGACATTATTTGTAACAAGCGGATGAGAAACAGAGATTTTCCTTGAAGTCATAAGAAATTCAGCTCTTAACAAGCTTTGCATGTGAGAGCTGATATCTCATAGACACTGAACTTAATAAATGACCCATATGCAATCATAGCAGAGTCTCTCTCAAAAGCACTCTGTACTAACTGTTATAAAAAACCTGTAATGATCTATTTAATCCCAAATTTCTAAAAATTAAGAAATTCAATAGTTTTGCTCATTTTTTAATTAATTTAAGGACCACTCAGACAGGTAAGCAAAATAAGAAGCCATATATAGCTGTTTCATGTAGTACTTCCATCTCAAAGGAAAACTGGTTAAATTTAAATCCTATTACATATACAACTCCTCCTTTTTCTGTCAAACATTTAACTAGTGACGAAAGGCAGAGGTGAACTATTTTAGAGCTTTCTTTTGGGTTCCTTTGCTGCATGTAAATTCCTCAGTACTTAGAACTGAAGACCTTTCTCACACCATCCTTTAAAAAATCCACAATTTAGCATGAGTTGTGTGAATTGTGGTGTGAATAAATTACAATGCTGTACAAACAAATTCTCACATTTCTAACGTTGGGGGTTTTTTATCAAATCTTCCCCCAAACTCAGTACAGAAATACCATCCAATGGAAACACAACAGGGTAATTTTTTGGAAGTGTAAGAACCTCTTCTTTGAAGTGGTCTAATTTAGGGATCATATTGAGACATTATTGTATTTCTCAACACTATTCCATAGCAGAAGAGTTTAGCAACTATACAACACCTTCACATTGTTGATACCCTATCCAGTTCATAAATTTAGGGAGAAGACCAGAGATTCTCAGGCTGGAGGAGACCAAAATAAGAATGAGAATGAATGTTTGCCTGTCCGTAGAAACCAGTCAAATTAAGACATAATTTTGAAGTTTGCATAAAATCTGGTAGTTATTTTATGCTTTCTGGTTTCCACAAACACAATACTCTGACTTTCTCACAAGATTTTTCTCCCAGCCAAAGCTTAGAAATTCTGGGAATCTCATTAGCAATCCTATTGCATTTATTGTGACATGGCTCACCAATTCCCAAGAGGAAGAACATCAGAAAAGCATTCATATTTTCCTTAGATGGCCTCATACTGAGGAATACATATTGCTTGTCTTCCTCTATACCAAGTCCTTGCTACTTTCCCAGATCTGATGTTATCTTACTGTCGTATACGTCAGCTCATGGTTTTCACAGGGTCACATCATGTCACAGACTAAGTCTGCTCCCACTGAGGCTGTTGGCAAACTTCCATTGAGTGAATGGGGCAGCATCAGCCCATTGCCAAGATAACTCTCCCCTTAAATTTATGGGAAATTCCTGATCATAAATCACATAGCATCCTTTAAACTAAACAGTTGTTGAGTGCTTAGCTCCACTCAGCCGAATTAAATTAGTAACATTTAGATCCTCAAATAATGGCAAGGAAACAACACAGCAGAAAATAAAAACTGGCTCATGAGAACTAGGCAACAATATGCTCTGTCCTTAACAGTTACCTGGGTGATAGGTAAAATGCTGGGGTTGACTTCTTTTTCTTTTCCCATTGATAACGTAGAAATTCACCTTCACAGCTGTGCGAATGTGCTTGTTCCTGTACTCTGGTATTTCTACAAAAAGCATGCTCTGAAACAACAAAAAGTGACAATATAGAATTAGCAACTGAGGCTGATTGCAGATTCTTGTGTGGGTCTCCCCTGTTATGTGTCCAGGCAGAAAGGAGGAGAAACCTATTCATATCTATAAGGAAGGGTATGAAAAGAAGAAAGGAAAGAAAGGGCAGATGGTGACAGACTAGAGATTCTTGGTAATAGGAAGCTGGTTTCTGTGTATCCTCTCTTGATGTTGCCCTGAACTTGGAGAGAGAAGTCTCAGCTACAAATAAAACACACAGAATGGTGATAAATGTGGCAGCAATGTTCATCACAATATGCTTGATAAACAAGTATGTATTGCAGAATTCCTTCTTTTTGTTAGAGTAAACTTTATTATTCCATATGCTTTTTAGTATACAAACCCGGATCTGGCCTCCATGGCAATTAACTGCAAGTGTTCCTTTCTCTTCCGCAGGGGCAGGCATGGCCCATGGCAATGTAAGTGCTTGCTCCTAAAAGCACTGAACAACTACAGTAAGGACCCATTAAGCAAAGTGAACAAAGAGGCTCATTCCCTCGAAAGATAAATGTTCATTTTAAATACTATAGTGCAAATCTTGTCCTGCAAAGTACGGAGCACCCAGGACTTCCATAGAGGCAAAAGGAAGTCAAGACAGCCAGCATCCTGCAGAGGACTGGGCTGATACAATAGAGTCTTCTGCAAGAACACAAAATCTAGCAGTTGTTCAATTTGCTGTGGGTTACTGCTAAATGAATAGTTTCTTTTTGCAACACATTTACTGCTGAAACATTTGACATTTGTTCATCACAGCCATCAGATAGCGGCTCTTTCTGCTTTTGAGACGCTCTTTGAAAACTATCCCTTGAATGCAACTTGCTGTCTGAGGAGCTCAAGGAGAGGACATCCAATGTTTTGCATACTTACAGGCTGGCTCTTATCCTTGTCCACTGTTGCCTCCATTTCCCAGATCTGCTGCCCATCTAAAAGAATATCACAGTATCAACATTGCTGTATTTTTTTTTTTAATCATAAAGCTTAACTTAAAAAAAAAGAAACAAATTAAGGGCATTAATTAGCAAAGTAACTTGCTGTCTGAGGAGCTCAAGGAGAGGACATCCAATGTTTTGCATACTTACAGGCTGGCTCTTATCCTTGTCCACTGTTGCCTCCATTTCCCAGATCTGCTGCCCATCTAAAAGAATATCACAGTATCAACATTGCTGTATTTTTTTTTTTTAATCATAAAGCTTAACTTAAAAAAAAAGAAACAAATTAAGGGCATTAAGTTAGCAAAGTTCTCAAAAATGGACTTAATTTAAAGGACCTTCCCACTCCTAACCAAAAGCAACAGCATTTAATTTAAACACATCATTGAACACTTCTCTCGCCAGGAAAAAGCTAACATACATATTAAAATTAAATGTTGATTTAGAAATTAGCCAAACTGAGGAATGAAATATTTAGCACAGGTGCAACATCTGCTTTTTACCACACTTGATTTCAGCCAGCTTGACTGATGGAGGCCACCAGAAGGTCAGATAACTCATTAATGGTCACATTCAGTCAGCAGCTCAGCAAACTTTCCGTTATTTTAAGCTAAGACCACGTGGCTCCCCACCAGTGTGGTAAGGGGCAGAATGAATGAGGACATGGAGGAAGGACTAGCTAAAAAAGTCATATAGGGTGCATGGAGATGGAAGCAAGAAAAGTGAGCCACTCCAGGGCTGACTTTTAGATGTGCTGCACAGTGAAACTGGCAGATGCTCTGAATTCTCACAGGAGTGTAGGTTTTTCTAGAAGTGGTTCAGTGGGGACAAATTCTTACTGTAAGTGGAAAAATAGCTATATAGGGTGTTTGATTAGTGTCATGCTTGTCTTCTTACTATTATAACCTGTTTCTTATATGTGCAATATGAAAACTCAGCACGTGCTGTCAAGAAATACACCTCATCTGATCAAGGAATAATCCCATCATCTCCCACAGCGGATTTGCGCCTCAGCATGGCCACCACTGCAGGCTGTGACAGAGTCACTATAAAGTCACTATAAAGCACCAAATATTCACCACACTCAGTGTAAAAGCATCTGTGACAGCCCCTACCTCTGAACCATCAGAAGTATTTCTGCTCTTAATTATATCCATGCAGCTCATCTCCGTTCTGCTACACAAAATTGTATTTACAGGGGAAAATAAAATCTGATCCCCTTGTAAGAAATACCATCAAAGCAACCCCCTCACTATAAAAGTACAGCAGTAGTGACAGGATATTTGTACAGAAACATGGTGCTCCCTCTAGTTACAGATATTTCTTAAATCTACTGTTGCCCGCACTTCCCAGAAACATATTTTAGCAATGCCTTCCTTATTACTTCTTTTTTTAAGAGTTTAATCTTTATTCCTTTGACTTTCATATCCTGCTGAGCCTTTTAAAGAAAACAAAACACAACCTTCATACCTTTCTGAAAGCTTGATTTTAAAATGAATAAGGGGACACTTATCCAAATGAACCAACATGACTTGAAATACTGCAGCAGCAAGGCTGGTGTTTGCTTTGGTGAAGGGGAGGCAGCTCCTGGGCACATTTCTGTGGGGGTTCCCCAGACTGCACACCCAGCTCTGGCAGGCCGGGGTAAAAGTCTCTTAAAAAGAGTCCTTTCCACAGGAGTTTTTATTTTTCCCAATTCTTGGAAATTCTGCAAGAGCCGCTTTTGTCGTCTGTTATTTAAGTACTTCTGCTTCTGGCAAAAAGGGAAATGAAAGAGTATTTTTAAATGCATTTTGCATTTTTTCGCTTGTTTTCCTCTTTGTTCTCCGCTCCGCACAGACAATGAACTGACAGATGTGCTGGGCTCTCCGGGCTGCCTCCTCCCAAGAGGGACCCGAGCTGTGGCTCCACGGCCAGGCCACAGTCCCAGGGATGGCCCTGCCTGCCCCATCTCCCTGTCCTTCAGCCCCAAGGTCATCCCAGCTGAACCTCACCTCCCCCAGCCAGCACCCTGCACCTGAGATGCTTCTGCCATCTTTTGGCCCCTAATCACACACAAGGGAGAGAAAGGTTTTCCCCGAGTCCATCGCCAACAGCATGTCCCTTCCTCCCTCAGGATGGGCTGGCTCCCCAGTGTGTTTGGGCAGGGTGCCTGGCTTGTGGTGGGGCAGGATGGGGACACTGAGCTGGCTGGGCCTCCTCACCCCTGATCCTTCCCACTGAGAAACTGGAGGCAACTGAGGAAAAGCTGGAAGAATGGCTGTTTGTCAGTTACCCGGGAGGGAGAGCCTCACGGGGGGGAGAGAGGGGAGCCTGGGCTTCCAACACCTCATGCCGCTGCTGCCACAGTATTCGGGTGCAAGGAGAAAACTCTAAATAATTCTAACTCTTTTATTTTTCTTCTTCTATTTTTTTTTAAGTGTTTCAAGTTCCTCTACAGCAAATCAGTTGTCTCTTCAAAGCTAACACAGGGATTAGTGACCGACTGCCTGAGCAGAGAAGGCCCAAGCAAGCTGTGCAATGAGAGCCAGCAAGGCTCCCGCGGATCCACTGTTTAGCCCTCACACCCCGAAGGACTGCTGTGCAAAGGAATGGAAAATACTCCATTATTTAACAATAAGCATTCACTTTGGCCATTGCTCTGGACTGTTGCAGGTTAAATCTATAAGCCTATTAACGCAGCTGATGCTTTACTGTAGTTGATACTGTAAATAGCTCAGGGAAAGGGGAAGCCAGCAAATAGTGGGGGTTTAATCTTCCAAATACTAAATACATTGTCTGATGACAAGGCAGTAAATATTTAATTCCTCTGCTAGGTGATCTTAGTAAAAAGAAACTATCATAATATGAACCTCCTGATACTCCATCTCCCCCCAAAAACCCAAACAAACAAAAAGAAAATAACCCAAGAAATTTTTATAGTTCTTTGAGGATAAGAAGGAGGGAAAAGGAAACAACAAAGTATGTCCTAAGAGCTCTGATAGAGACACACTCTGGGAGCTGTCTAAGCAAAGCAATTTGAAGATGTCCTGACTACAAGAAGAGCCAAGAGGGAATATGTGACACTGGTTTTCCTCCAGGCAGAATGTTTTCATCTTTGTTTCTGTATTGCTAAATTCAAACAATCTGTGCAGATACAACCGCACTAACTTCACAAAGAAGGTAGAAATAAAAAGGATTTTTTGGTCCAAAATGCATAAAATAAAGGAGAAATGGGCCTCCAAGTCATCTGCCATATTCAAGAGGTCTGTGAAGCATATGCAACCACAATCACAGTGGATTTTAATTAGTAACCAAGTCACCGAAATTGCACTAAAAGCTAATGAAGCCAACCATAAAAATCAAATTATGTTTAAACTGAGTCCAAAATCTGTGGTGATTAAGGATAAGAATGAGAATAAACCCAACCAAACAAGAAATAAATGTATTTAGGTTTATCATTCTAATGGCAAAAATGCTTCTGTTTGAATATATTCATGCTCATGGCAGCTGAACAGGTTTCTAAGAAATCTACCAGCAATGGCAATCCCTGTTCTTTAAGCACCAAAGCCCTGTTGAATATAACCACTCTGCAGCTCATTCCCTGACCTTTATGCTTAAATATCACGATGTGGCTCCATCTGTCTCACTGCTTCACTTTTATAGCTGCAAATGTACAAACTTCAGCCCGAGACAATCAATATTTGCTTTTCCTTTAACCCCTCTGGATATGCACATTACAGTGAACTTTTGGCAAAAGAAAGAGGGAGACCATGAATAAAATTATAAATGCAACCACATTCAGAAATTTCTCTACTTTAACATATCCTTTTTGCTGGAAATTAAAAGAAATCTTTTGATTGTGTACACTGAGAAAGTTTACGGAGGGCAGGAGGAATAAACTGAGAAGTCTAAGGCACATCTAAAGACAATTTGAGCAAATTCTGAACAGAGAAAACTTGCTCCAAGCCGTCAACACATTCAAGACCTTTAGAATATTCTCTCTTAAAGGAGAATTTTCTGAGGAGGAAATTAAAGGGGATGCGTTTTTAAAAGTCATCAGCAAAAATGGGATTTTTATTGTAAGGATGTGCTAAAAATCATAATGCTGATATGATGGTAGAGTACAGTCCCGAATACAAAACCTGTGTCATAACCTGAGTACTCAGAAGTAGGCCCCTTTCTCCAGTCCAGTGTTGCAACACAGGTGGTGCCTAAACAGTGTGCATGCATTTTGCCTTGGGCAGGAAGTTGGGCTCAATGACCTCTCCAGGGCCTTAATTACCCTGTAATTCTGCCACACCACAAATAGGACAAATAACTGCTCCTCTCCTTGTCTGTGAACCAAGAAGATTAAGATCCAGCTTGACCGATAACTTAATTTGAAGTTTCCAAGTACAGAGAGCTATTTATTGTGCATAATTAAACCTGCTTTGACAGTGGAGAGTCAGAAAACTGCACAAAGAGCAATAGCATAAATTTTTTCTGAAGTATTGCAAGAGCATGAGCACACAGATGCAGTGAGTGTGTGCTCTGCAAGTGGCAGTCAGAGCTGGGCTGTCCTAGCAGCAACACATGCCAGCCAGAGCATTGCAAGGATGGCACAAAATGTGCATGGATCACACAGGAGCTTAGTGCCAGGTCCACGTGTGTGGTTGTTTCTCAAATTCAACCTCCAGAAAGGGGAATTCAATCCACACTTCTGAAAAGAGCAGTAGTTCCACAAAAGATGATAAAATATTTTTTTATTTAACCCTGAGGTCTTACCAGCTGTGGCTGCCTCATGCAATATTTTTACTGTTGTGGTTCCCTGCTCATTTAATGGTTTGTCTTAGTTGGCAACTCTTTAACACCACAGGTCAGTGAAATGTTCAGGAAATAGAGATTTTTGTGCTGCTTCAGGGCTATGAGACTTAGCATTAAACCCTGATGAGAGATCTGATTGTGTCAGCACTCTTTGGAGGAATGAATGAGTTGTTGGAAGCAGGTAATTCTACCCTCTCTAACTCAAACTGTGATCATACCAAAAGTCTTGCTTCAAACTTTGGGGAAAATCAAAATGTCAGTCTGCATTAGGAACATTTTGGGTGATTCTCTGCAGCCCCTTATAGGGCTTTTTTTAATTAGCCAATTAAAGGTTTTCTGAAGCAGTTACAGCCTTTACACATTATTCACGATATCTTACTCATAACTTTGGGGTCAGTAACTAGCGGAGAAACAAACTTAC